GCAGTTTGTATTATTTTTATCAGTGATGTGTTGCCTGAAATTTATTGGAGCAACGGGTAGAGCGTCCAATTTCCTTGTCTCTGTACGTTGTGTGCCTGAAAAAGATAAAACAGCTGCTATGGGCTTTGGTATGATGATGATGTCTATGTTGGCTTTCATACCAAGTCCAATATTCTTCGGTTGGGTGCTGGATCGCCTGTGTTTGGTTTGGGGTAAAACATGTACAAATAATGGCAACTGTTGGTTGTATGATCCGCAATCACTAAGGTATCTTTTATTACAATTGTATCTTAAATTTCATAATTAATATGTATGTTTGTATTTTAGATATACACTCAATATAACTGCCGCCATATTCATTACCATAGGTGCATTGTTCGATTGTGGTGTCTGGTATTATGTTAAGGACTTGAAGATTTTTGATGAAGAAGTCAAGGATGTCGAAATGGAAATTGTTCAGCATGAAGAAGAATTGAATTCAGAAAAGAAAACAGAAGTTTAATTTAATAATACTTTTATTAATTATATTAAGTAGATTCCTTATATATGTATTTTATTGTACGTTTGTGTGTATTTGTTTGAATGTGTTTTTATGTAAGTATGTGTGAGAATTGTAAAAAAATGTGTTTACATTATGTGTGATCAATATAAAAGCTAATGAGAAAATAAATAATAATTTGTTGGATTAAATAAATGTTTATAATGTATTAATTTAAAGTAAATTAATAAATGAAATAAAGATAATATAGATTTAATTACAAATTCAAAAGTTTCATTATATATTGAATAAATATTAGTTGTGTGGTGATCAAAATTATTAAGAAAAAATAAATTTTTAGTAGTTAATAAGTTAATAAACTAATAAATCGTAATCTTTTTGTTGAATATAAGTATTATTATTTAGGAAATAAATGTTTTAACATATATTCACACATGCATACACACATACATAGAAGGAAACATCAAGCTTCCTACATTATGTTTATTCTCACAAGTAATCAGGAATTAAGATTCGCTTTCTCTCTATCTCACTCTATCTTTCGTTCACTTTCTGAACGACCAAGTGCCGTTCTCCATTCGCAAAAGCGACTATACCAACACATCTCCGCAGATTACAACAACAACCGTGTTCCTCCACCAATATTCAGATATTTATACAACGATAAATTCTATAAAACCTAATATCGATATCCGATATTTTTTTATGACTTTTTAAAGCAGAATTCGTAACAAGGGTCAAGAGTCACCATATCTGAGGTCAATATCTCTGCAGAGTTAGTTTACCTATACATTGAGAAGTTGATTCATATCCCTACATCGGTAAAGACTAGATAAATCTCTTCAAACCTTTTAATACCATGCGAGTCTACAGGTAAGATTATCTATCCTGCGAACTTTTCAATTTACAGTCGTTTGAGTACTTATATTTTACAAATGAATCTAGGTCTTTACTAATACTGATACCAACAACATAATTAAGTACGTCGGGGTGATATTATTACTACTTACAAAAAGAAGAATTCTGTAAAAATAAGCTTGAAAGTTAATGAGAGTAAAGTGTATTTCAGCTATACACGAAGAACTCGGACGAAGAACACTTCTCTCGAAACAATCAATGAGTCGTCTATATGGGCACCTCTAAAACTAATAATAACACCTAGAGCTAAGATAAAGAATATTCATTGCCATAAATGGGCTCAGTAGTCATTTCAGATGTGGGGTTTTCTTTCGGCGGACTAAGCTTATTATACCGTTTATCAATTCTGTGATTCTGTATGTTGGATATGGCAAGCAGATGAAAAATATACAAAGGAAGACTATATCTATGTCTCTTTACCAAGGGGAAAGCTATATCCAAGCACATATTTTCCACTGTTACCTTGAAGTTGGGACGTTCATCGCCACCTGTATCGATATACCGATACTGTACCGATGCGTGTGTGCAGAACAACGTGATGTTAAGCCTACACAGCAGGTAATCACGTTAAACTGTAGACCTTCATATCTCTATCTACTATATCTCTGGTAGAAACTATTTTAAAAGCTTATCAAACTAGTCTTAGTAATGCACGAATCATACTTGATGTGTTCACACTCAGCAGAGATGTCTGGAAAAGAGTCTCGTCTTAGGCAGATACCTGAAGACGAGTGTCAATCAATTAAGTGAGTAAATAAGTTTACTGACTTTAAGTATTGTTAATTAATAAAATGCTCTCTGCTGTACTAGGGAACCGATTAGTCGCTTTCTACACAAATAATTCTTGTAGTGCTCTGATTGAAGATATTAGATAAATATGTTAGACAGAGTCCCTAGCCCATTAGACAGATTACAATAAATAATTTAAATTTAATTTACAAGACAAAAATTTTTCATAATGAAAATAAAATTAAATTTTATTTTTTAATGATGTTTTACTATATAAATTCTTCCAAGAATTATGAAAAAAATTACTAGCTCAGTAAATAAAGACTAAAATTTTAATTAAATAATAAAAATATTATTAGCATGAACTGTAAATAAAAGTTAAAGATAAAATTTTATTTTCGTTTTAATTTGTGTTTAACTGAAGAGGCTATTTTACTTTTGAGATAAGAAAGATTTTTAGATCTCTGCTATCGCAAACAATCACAGAAGTGGGTACATTACATTCATAAAAATATGAAATTCATAATATTCGTATCTTTCAGATATAAACAAGATCAAAGATGTAAATACCGGTTAAGTGAATTGATTACATTCGGAGTATTACAGAAAAAATATTTCTTTTAACTATTTTTAACTATTTATTGGGAAAATATATATATATAGAAAGGCAAGGTAATACATATATGTTATATATAATGGAAAGAGAAGACCCAGAGAACAATAGCAACATTAATCAAGGCGAAATTGAAGAGGAAATTGAATTACTCAAGGGACACAATGTCAAAAGAAATTCAGTGGTAATTAGAGAAATAGCACTTGATCATCAAAATATCGAGAAGAGTACTCTAGAAGTTAAAGAAAATACCTGCGGTTACTGGTGCTTAAGAGGTGAACTATTACAAAGGTGAGACATATAATACATGTACACATAATACATAAATTATATACATAATAATAATGTAAATATCTTTTAATAATTTTAAGATAGAAAGAATTCATGTTCCATCTACTTATTATAACCACTATCTATTACATTTCAATATTAGATTTGCAAATCAAACTTCATATGTCATACTTTACGGTTTGGTGGGCTGTGCATTCTCTATGTCTTATGCTTATTTCAATGCAACAATCACAACAATCGAGAAACGCTTTAAAATACCCACTAAAAATACTGGAATTATTTCGGTAGGCAATGACACCAGTCAGTTATTTGGCGCTGCGCTTTTAGGTTACTTCGCTGGCAGAAGACATCGTCCTAGATGGATTGGTATAGGTAACTATTGTGATAACTAACTTTTTAATATTTGCTATACATTTTAATAACTTTAAGGCATTTTAACAATGGTTACATTTTGTTTACTTAATGCATCACTGCATTTACTATATGGTCCGGGTGAAGAGGCACTGGCATTAACTACTGAGTTCGGTGCTTTCCCAAATGAAAATATTTCTATCGAATTGAAATCATTGGAAGCATCAAAAATTTTATGTAAATCTGAAAGGAATAGTAGTGAGTGTATTTCGGCTGAATCTGGAAATATGTCCCCACAAATTGTATTATTTCTGGCACAATTTGTGTCAGGTATTGGGTGCGCTTTATATTACACCTCAGGTGTGTCTTATATGGATGACAATTTAGATAAATCGAAGACACCAGCGTTATGGAGTAAGTAAGAGATTGTACTGAAATACTTCGTTTATATTTTATTTAGTTTGTGACTGAAGTTACTATTATATATTTATTTATTATATTTATTTATTATTATCATCATCTAATTATTAAGTTAGGGAATTAAGAATTGCGACCTCAGAGATCTTTTGCACACCTTTCGTAGTTTTAGTGTATATAACCAAATCTCTTTTGCTCAATAATTTATAGTATCGAAGTTTTATAGTATCGAATTTTATCAAGTGTTATTTCTTATCCAATATAAAATTTTCCGAAGTAAAGCGAAAACACGTTCCGGTAAGCGAAATTCCGAAGAAGAAAAGGGAGTGTTTTAGTTCGTATACTACACAGTAGGAGTCAGACACACTATTTCGGTAACGGTCGGTTTGACGGTGCATGAACATTCCACTTCCTCACTTATACAAAACAAAAAAAAAATTGACATAAGACGACAACCTAGGTATTTCATTCATTTTTTTTTCATCAGTGGCATAGAGTGGTGCTATGTTGTATGCCTAGTCATACTGAAATTATTTGCAATAAGTCCGTAGATAATCTTGTAAGAACTGAATCATCCTACTCAACTCAATGGACCAGGGTTCCAACTTCTGATTGATATTCTATCTTCGAGCTATGCATTAGAGACAAACAGAATACGGTGTTTGGTTCTTACTTTGTTTTCTACAAAACCCGAAAGTTCCATTAGAGCAAGTAAGTTCTGTTGGATTATATGTTAACCATCATTTGCTTAAGTTTAATATCATACAATCCATATATCTTTATAAGTGAAAAGTCCCTCTAATTATTGTCGATTGATGGCTCTTCCAACAAAGCATACTCTGTTTCTCTTCTTCTTTCTGAATAAGTAAGAAGAAGTTAACTCACCCTCATCCACATAAAGGGTTACAAGTACGTCGCTGTTTTTTATTTTGTAAGATTTAAATTTATCTACCACTTTGTTGCCAAAATTCTATTATTAATTTGCTATCTAAAACGCAATTTCTAAAAGATGAAACCCTAAAATAAGAAAATACTGTACTAAAATTAATTATCCATTCCGAAAGATCATAAAAAGTGGTTTTAAATAAGTGAGTTTATTTTCATTATAATAACCTTAAACGGTAGAGGCAAGAATATTTTTTACTCATGGTATGATTCATTTATTTCAGGTTTATCGTACTTTCTCCATATGTTGGGACCATCGGTTGGTTACACCTTAGCTTCCTATTGTCTACAAATTTATATCAGTCCAAAACTACAACCAACTATCAATAACGAAGATCCTCGTTGGTTAGGAGCATGGTGGATTGGTTGGTTAGTGCTTGCTCTATTAGTTTTTATACCTGGTACATTGCTATCATTATTTCCTAAATCCCTACCGAAACCTGTCAAACGACAAAAAAAGTTAGTACAGATAGAACACAGAGGCGCACAAATACGTCAAGAAGAGGGTTCTACTGAAAAGACTGTTTCTCTTCAAGATATGTTGAAGACCTTTAAACGTATTCTGCAAAATAAGACGCTTATGTATAATAATTTTTCATCAATTTTTTACTTCTTCGGATACACGCCCTACTGGATCTTTACACCGAAATATATCGAAATACAATACAGACAAACTGCTTCTGCGTCAAGGTAATAAGGAAGTACCTAAATACCTTAACAAATTTCATACTTAAGTCCTTACCACGCTTTCAGTTTCTTTACAGGTACCGTGGCTTTGGTTTTTACAGGATTTGGTATACTCTCTTCCGGTTTTGTTATATCAAAATTTAAGCCCAGTGCACGTCGCTTAGCAGCATGGAATGTTTTTGTGAATTTCGTAACAGTAGCTGGTATACTCGGTTATGCTTTTATAGGCTGTGCGGATATTGAGAACTCCTTGATAGTGAACAATGGTCATAATGCCACCTTTTGCAATAACAACTGCAACTGTGAATATGTGGCATATACGCCAGTTTGTGGTAGCAATAATAAAACGTACATTTCGCCCTGTCACGCTGGTTGCAGAGCAATAGGAAATCGTGGGGATAGTCAAACAGTGTGTTCTTTTCTTGAAATTGATATCAATCCATTTAATATTGTCAGTTACAGATTTATGAAAACTGCAGTTGCATTTCACCAAATAATTTGAATGACAAAACTATTTCATTTGATTTTGTTTTGGATTTTAATAGCTTGAATTCCACATCCCATATGACCCCTATAGATAATACCTATAACGCTACGCCTGGTGCTTGTCCTGTTGACTGTTTTAGAGAATTCGTTTTCTTCTTAGTGGTTATGTGTAGTTTGAAATTTTTCGGTGCTACAGGACGTGCTTCGAATTTATTGATTACGATGCGTTGCATACCTGTAGAGGATAAGACCGCTGCTATGGGATTTGGTATGACGTCGATCTCGCTGCTCACTTTTATACCGAGTCCTATTCTCTTTGGTTGGTTAATGGATAGTTTGTGCTTGGTGTGGGGTAAGACTTGCACAAATAAAGGCAATTGTTGGTTGTATGATGCTGCTACGTTAAGGTGAGAGAGACCACTATAACAATATATTAGTTATAATTATTATAATTTTCTTTTTTTTCCAAGATATGCTTTAAATCTAACAGCTGCTGCTTTTATTATAGTTGGAGGGCTATTGGACTGTGTTGTGTGGTTGCTTGTTAAAGACCTAACAATTTTTGATGAAGAGATGCAAATTAATATTTTGTTGGATGATATTTCACATAAAAATGTTGATGTCGACAACTAAGTAATTAAGCAAGAATAAATATATAAATAGTATATGTAATATAAGTATTTTAATGTTTTAATTTAAGATCTACTACTAAGGCATTAGTCGTATAATGAAGGCTTTAACCGGTTGGCTTACCTCTCAATTATGTTTTAAATCTATTACTTATTATTTCATAACTTGATTTTTTCCACTTATGGCTTTTAATTTATTTTTTAACTAAAATAATCAATTTTTTCACATGTAGCATAACTGGCTTTAATTTATTAAAGTTTTCATATAAAGTTTTATTAATATTCCTCAAAAAGTGAAGTATTGTTCTTTATATTAACAGGTAGACATTGCCCACTCAGTTAGACAGAAAATCGAATGTAGCTAAACTGATTCTTCTTGTCGGACTTAACAAGTTTATTTTTCATATAAAGTTTCATTAATATACCTTAAAAAGTGAAGTATTGTTCTCTATATTAACGGGTAGACATTTAAATAGATAGTCACTCAGTTAGATAGAAAATCGAATATAGCTAAACTGTTGCATTTATCAAGCTTATTTTGGGATGGGCAAAAAATATTGGGCGTTTTTTTCGTTAAGTGATTTTGTCTTTTTGTCCAACTTTAATGCATAATATATAATAAATTTTACTTATAATTTTTCTTTTCCATTCAATGTCTTGAAAAACATAGACCATATTTTTATAACATACGGTCTTTATTCCAATGTTACCGTTTAACATTTTTAGAATACCCACACAAGTTGCCAGGTTCTCAAACTGTGAGAAGAAGTGAAGCATTATGTCACCTTAGTTACGAACCTCTCAACGACAGTTTGACAAATATTGCCGGAAAAGTTGGAAAATGGATGTGAATATCACATCCTTTATGTGAAATCTATTCTTAATGCATATCACAAAAAACTAACGAAATAAAATTAGCTCATGCTAGTTATGATATTCGAATTATAAAAATTTATGACGTTCTTCTTAAGAAATTTTTGACGTTCTTCCTAAGTTTCAAACATAGTAAGAGGGGCAAATCTAGTGACTCCATCTTGCCACTAATGTTTGCAATGGATTTGAACTTTAATTTTTTTTTTGTTGGGATCTTAACATTTTATTGGTTCAAATGGATTTCACTTTAGTCAGACACAGTTTAAGACTCGCAAGAAATGCTTATATCGATTGGTGATTACATATTTCACAGTTTTAAGTGTATAAGAGTTATTTCAATTGTAAAGACCGTATATTGAACAGTTACTGTATTGTGGATGGCAACAAAGACCGTATCATTACAGGGATTCGTTCGGATTATGTGGTGCAGAAAGTGCAAACGCTCTAACGTTCCACAGGTTCTTATAAATATCAAATTAATTACGGTCTTATTCATTGATACAGTCTTTGGTCAAAAAATTGTCCTTGCTGTATTGGGTACAGTTTTGTTATCATTGGAAAATTATTTCGTATTTGCGGTTAAAATGAAAATAACTAAGCTTCACTTGTTGACATATAGAAAGCGCTGTGTAAAGTTCTGCTAATGATTCGTTTCATATATTTTTTGATAAATAAATAAATGCACTTATTATCTTTTATATTTTATTAATTTAGAATTTAAATATGAATTTCAGCTAAATTGGTTCAAAAATAAAGAACTTATCACAGGTTAAATTCGAAGGCAAGCACTTCAGAGTGTACTTTTTCTAGAAACCAATTCACCGCATTATCTTCTTCTTCTAGGTGTTTTGTCCGCTTCGAACGTTGGCTAGCATAATTACTACCGAATTATGGTTACTTTAAATAAAGCGAAGGCGAAGAATACAAATTAAGTTGGAACTGTTATATGTACAGCGTATTATGCCTGAACCAAACCATGTTGTATATATTTTTATGTATACATATATTTACATATATATATTTTTGGATTTGCTTATAACAGAATAAAAATACCTTTAAGTATATTGTTGTTCTTATAGGCAACTATTCTCGATCTATTGGATGTAATCATAAATTATACATATAAGTTCATTATTTGACTTCTAAAAAGTAAATGCAAGGATTATACAATTTTTCCTACTATTTATATGAAGGTTTTCTCTTAATAAAGACTGACTTGCAAACATTTATATATATATTTTTTTTTGAGATGAGGAGCTGGAACGCCTTATGCACCGTCAGACCGACGGTTGTAGGAATACTGTGCCCGACAATCTAACATTAATATGAAATATTCTTACCAAAACACTCTCTCTTCCGCGAGACTTATTTCCCTAGGGATCGCTTTCTCATTACTTCGAGGAGGGTCTCTTTTATGTTGGCATATCAAGCCATGCTCTTGCGATTTTTGATCCGCGTCCAGATTTGTCTTCTTTCACGGCATTTTCGTGGTGCCTGCACTACTTATTAGCCTACTTTCTGATTCTATTTTGTGGGTCTAATTTCTTTGCTTTCTTTAACTTGCAGACCTATTACTTAAGATAATTTTAATTAAATATTTTGAAGATATTTTTTTAGTGTCTTGTATGTCTGAAGCACGTTGAAATTAATTTAATTTAAAGTAATTAAAAAAATTTAATTAATTTAATTTAATATTGACAAACTCTTTAAATAGAAGTTAATGAAGCTGTTATATTACCCTGAAGAGAATATATCTGTTGTATGTAGCTTTGTCAAAGTGCGACATATGCCGATTCTACAGTCAAATTTTTTCTAAAACTCAGAATGAAAATAAATAAATCGTAAATAACTGATTTTTAATGTAATTATGTGTGTGAAATTCATTGCAATTGCGGCAAAAGCAAAGTAAACTTTGTCTTCTCCTTTTAGATTCAAATTTTGATGTGACAATTTTAGCATTTCGCTTTGGTTGCATGGCAATAAAGTGAAAATGAAATCAAGCTCAACGTTGAGGTGGAGATATTTTATTTATTATGTAAATTTTTGGCATATATTTAGGTCAATGCACACGCAAATTTAATTGCGGATTACCAAACGTGCAAATCTGAGCTGAGTTCACCTCGTATTTGCATACCAAAAATATATTGAGCAATGGGCGTAAATGCAGAAATAATCATGAATATAATTATGAAGAACTTAACCTGCTCTGTGCCTGTGCAGAGTTCAATAACAAAATATGTTAATTAAAATTTTCTTAATTGAATAAAAAAAAGAAAAAAATAATAATACAAAAAAATGCATTACACATGCATTTGGAGCCTGAAAGTATGCAACAAAAGTGGATGCGCCAGTATATGAATTTTTTCCAGGACATTAACACACGGAAAACATGATTTTGTAGTTTGGATAAATAAATAAATGTAGGAACACAAGGACTCAATGTTCTGCATGAAAAGAACATATTTTGTTAGTTGGTTTAGTGGGGATGTGTTAAAGGTGCAGCTGAGTGTGCGGGATGTGTTGACACATATTTGGTTTGCAGTGTCATTTGGTATTGAACAAAAAAGAAAAAACACGCCGGAAACATTATGAATACATTAAACCACAGGTTTACACAAATGTTAAATTAAAAATGAGGAAAACTGATTTTAATTATATTCAGTTGATTTGGAAGATTTATTTGATTATACATATATTGCGTGCAAATTATTGCAAGGCAGTAGCTGGTCAACAAATCCAATTTTATTATTTTTTGTAAATGGACAATAAAAACTTACTCAGTTGGCCTTTACAGACATCGTCGTCCTTGGTGGCGTACAGTAGTCTCTTCCAGCCAACCCGATCAGTGGATTGATGTTGAGCACTACCAACTGGTGACTTCATGTCGTGAAGCCAAGTACCTTCAAATCGTTCTGGGCCTCTTATATTAGATGTGGACGTTCTTTATGGCATTTTTCACTAACGAGTGCCGACTTAAACACGTTTCTAGTCGGAACGTTTTCTCACTTGCACGATGTGACCAAGTCAGCGAAGCCGCTGATCTTTTATGCGTTGAACTATCATTCTATCTTTTTCTATACGAAATTGTACTTTCGAAAGCACCTAAAACCCTCTCATCACGCATCGCAATATATATTGTTTATTGTGTCATAGTATTGTGTATTGACTTCTGTTTTCATACGAAGCATAGATTTTAACGTCTTTGAAAGGAACTTTTCTATTTTACTAGTATTCATATTTACTCATCAAATCTCAATTCACTCTTAAGTTGAGTTTCAAGTTGTCCTAGGCTCTCTACCAACTTTAGTAAGTGGTTCTTAATACATTTTACAGTCACCTTTATTGAACTTTATGAATGTGATATCAACTGAAATGCATATTCCCACCTTTATGACGATTACTAAGTTCCAAAGTATAACACTATTGTCTAGAAATGTGCAACAATTGGCATCGATAATAACAATAACAGATATATATGTATTGCATGGGATGGGTTACCTTGCGTTTGGGTAATCCATTGCATTGTTAGTGTGGAGTTCCTTCTTAAGTAAACTGTTGGAGCAACACTTTCGAGACAAAAACACTTGTCGCACAGACACACGTGCACGTCGCCCATACGAAGCACACGTAAGCCGCATTTGCAGTGTTTAAACAGCATTGAAATTGGTGCCGCTTTTGTTGCTCACAAGCACTTCTCATTGCTCACCAAACGACAGCACGCTCCACACTTTTTGCCACAATTCAGTTAACATCAATGCAATCAACAGAATAACACACACTCAATCCCTTATAGAGTGGTGGGCAACCCTTTCAGCTACAGTTGGAGTGTACCGGCGCGCGTCGCACAGCGGGTGCCTTTGTTGTTGATGTGCCACAAAAGATTTCCAATTCACTTGAATGATAGATTAGTTCATGTTGACAAATGTTGCGTTTTGGAGTTACTTTAGATTATGGCTGGAAGGAGTTCTAAGCCCAATACTCTATCGGAGAGTAGTTTTATTAAGTACATAATAGCAGAGAAACTTGTTG